GCGGGTGGCGTGGCAGCAGCCGTCTCTAAAACAACCGTGGCCCCCATCGAGAGGGTCAAGCTTCTGCTCCAGGTCCAACACGCCAGTCGACAGATCACCAAAGACCAGCAGTACAAGGGCATCGTGGACTGCATTGTGCGTATACCCAAAGAGCAGGGAGTCCTCTCGTTCTGGAGAGGAAACCTCGCCAACGTCATCAGGTACTTCCCCACCCAGGCCCTCAACTTCGCCTTTAAAGACAAGTACAAGGCTGTGTTCCTGGACGGTGTGGACAGTAGAACTCAATTCTGGAGGTACTTTGCTGGTAACCTAGCCTCTGGAGGTGCTGCTGGCGCCACCTCCCTGTGTTTTGTGTATCCACTAGACTTTGCCCGTACTCGTCTAGCCGCTGACGTGGGAAAGGCTGGAGCAGAAAGGGAGTTTAACGGTCTGGGGGACTGTCTGATAAAGGTCTTTCAGTCTGACGGTCTGAAAGGTTTGTACCAGGGTTTTAACGTGTCAGTGCAGGGCATCATCATCTACAGAGCCGCTTACTTCGGAATCTACGACACGGCCAAAGGGATGCTGCCGGACCCAAAGAACACCCCCATACTGGTGAGTTGGATGATCGCACAGACGGTGACGGCCGTAGCTGGTCTGGCTTCGTACCCCCTCGACACTGTCCGCAGACGCATGATGATGCAATCTGGACGGAAAGGAGCGGACATCATGTACAGTGGGACCATCGACTGCTGGAGGAAGATCTCACGTGATGAAGGCATCAAGGCTTTCTTCAAAGGAGCCTTGTCTAACGTTCTCAGGGGAATGGGCGGGGCCTTTGTACTGGTGATATATGATGAGCTCAAGAAAATCATCTGAGTATGGTCAGCATCAACAGCATTGGCCATCTTAGGGCTGTGCCTTTTTCCCCAAAATTTGTGGACTTTTTTTTTTTTTGGAATTTTGGAGTGTGGAAGAGCAGAACTGTCCTGTTTGACTTGGTTGGCTAAAGTCAGACTGTCGTCTTTAGTCGACACTCAAGGATCAATAAATGAAAAAAACTAACCCTAGTGTTGTGGCTCATTTTCAAATCTCTTCAACCAATTAAAAAGACGAAGGTGACTAGAATCACCATAAACCTCTGTTACTGTCATCTTTTTACTGATGGAAAAGGAGTTGACTTGTCTTTTTTTTTTTTTTACATAGTGTTTTAAACCCATAAATGTGATGTGATAATTAAACTTAAGAAAATAAGTTACAGCCCTGATATCTCATTTTTTACTGCGTGAACCACCACATTTACTTGGTTTGTACATCGACTAAAATTCTGGGGCAATAGGTAAAAAGCATGTAATGATGTTTTCATGCTTCACAGTTAATATGTCAGTTCAAGTACATTCATATGTTTAATGGCAATGTTTTTCCTTTTTAAGTTAAGTTAAATCCTCATTATCAGAATGTGTTTAGAAAACGGAAAAATAACGCATCTACCAAAGAAAAAATAATTTTGGGGGGGGGGGGAGGTTTTGGTCATTGTATGGAAACCAGATTGGTATTTTTGGGTGGACTCAGTGAACCTTTCAAGTGGGGAATCTGCACACGACCATCAAAGACAACTTGACATACAGTTATTTTCCGCTGACTCGTCTCCCTTATCACTAAAACAACCAACGAGTTACAAATCAACCAACAAATGAAGCCTTTCAAACATGAAAACAAAAACGGAAATATTACAATCAAGTTAACCACAAGAACAGAAAAAAAAAATACAAAAATAATTTTGTTTTTACAAAAATGTCTTGAGGGATGAAACAAATAGAAAAAAGGGAACGTGCATGAAAATGAAGGACAAAAAAAAAAAAAACTTTAAAAAAATAAAAAAGCAGCATCAGATTTTTTTTTTAAAAACAAGTCAAAAAAAAGGACAAAAATAGTGCTTTAATCAGAGGCAGAAGAGACTTCACCCCTGGTTTGTTACTTGTATTTCGGATGATGATGATGAAAGTTACCAGGAAAATAGGGGGAGCACCTGAGTGCATCAAGCTCCTCCTCTGGCTTGTAATGTCACCACATGATTGACAGAAAAAGCACAGGAAAAAAAAAAAAAAAAGGATGCGAATTGTGGAGGACGGAGGGACCTGCTTTGTGTTCACAATATACAAAAAATACCCAGGAGTCTGTAGCTACCTAACACTTACTACAGCACATGAACCAACGTAGGTACAGTGTACAAATAAAAAGAGTAAAAAAAACAAAACAAAAAAACAACCGAAAATAAAAAATAAACTGTAAACACAGCACAATAAATAGATAAAAACAGCAGGCTCCGCACCATGCACATGATGTGATAAAACTCTTCTCTATACAACTCCCACCTCACCATCACTTACTTGGCTTATTCTTTTTTTTTTCCTTTAAATTCGACTCCCAAGTGCAAAACATCACAAATGGACAGTTCTGTATTCAAGTCATATATATACAGGGGATATTACAAATATGTAGTTACTGTACACATACTAATTTTGCCATATTCATAATTTACAGATGTCAACTTTTTTTTAAACTTTAACAGTAACAAAAGAAAAAAAGATTTTTAAAGAATGAGAGATGAAAATTGCAAGCGAGCGGCTGCAGCCGTCGGTCATTCCGTGTCAAGAGTCCCACCGTCCCTTTTGCATTCCCGATGCTACGATGCACAGCACCTGATAGAGTGAACTCCATCCATCACCGGTACTACGTCACCTCCATGGCCACTGTGTTGTCTGCTATACTGTTCAGTGCTGGCTTGTCTTCTTCATGATTATCCCTGTGGAGAGACGATCAGACGATTTATCAGTCAAAGCAGCGGTGTTGAGGCAGACCACAACCCCCCCACCCCGATCCCCTGACCTGGCTACAGTCTACACCTCTCAGCCTCCACCTTGATGTAAGGTGACAGAGAAAAACTTAAAATTGAGAGTTTTAGTTTCCATTATTCCATCATTACTAATTGTCACATTCACATACTGCCCTCATTTGACTTTCTGCACAAAAAAAAAGCATAAAAGGGGAAAAAGTGAAACTAAAAATCGTAATATTTCGGTGTATCAATATTTTCTTACGCCACTACTTGTAAATTAAAATTTTCCAAAAATTTCCTTTACACCAATGGCAGCAGGACTTCAAAACTGAATTATTTTACAATTGTAATTTTTAAAGCCTACTTTTTTAAATTGTTATCCTGAGTAACACTGTTTTCCTTCACGGATGAAAACCTTTTTTTGCAGGGCACAGAAATTTCAACAAAACCCAGGAGGAGTCATGTGAGCCATACTGAAAAGACCAAAGTCGTCCTTTAGAAGGAACAAAACAAAGATACATTTGTTAAACTTTCTGAGAAGTTACCACACGTTCTAGTGGAGGACCGTATCACTCACTTTGAGCCCATGTCCATGGGCGATGCTGCAGAGACTTTGGGCATCTGCAGGTTGGTGGCGGCGGACAGCTTTAAGGCAGAGGCCGGCACGGTGCCAAGAGTGCGTGGGATGTGGCGTCCAGCCAGACTGGCGGCTGACGGCACGCTTAGACAGATGTTATTCCCGAGTAGGACCTGAGTGGTGACGGGGGTGGAGTTAGGGCTGTTGCATCCCAGGATCCCCAACGCTGCTGCTGTGTGGTTGCTGGGGTTGGAGTTGTGAGAGGTGGAGATGGCGTTGGCAGGTGAGGGCGTGGTGGCGTTTGAGGAGGGCTGGAGAAAAGTCTGGGCTGTGGTGGTGGTATGTGTGGCTGATTGATTTGTCTGGTGAAGAACTGCCGTGGTTGTAGAAAGGTGCAAACCTTTGAAAACACCTGTGTGAACAACAAGATTGTTGAATGAAATAATAAAAAAAAAAAACAGGATTAGTTCCAGAAGAATCTATTCACCTGACATAACGCAAAGCAATAATTTCAGGAATTTCACATCAGATCATCTATGAATCTTCTCTGGTAATTTCATCTCCAACATCTCCCTTCAGTTCATGCCAAAACCATCTCAGTCTCACCTTTCTAACATCTGAACCCCAAAGGTTAAACTGTTAACTGAGCTGAGTTTTTCAGTCCATCAGGCTCAGTGTCAATAAAGACCCCACTATCCTCAGCCCTGCCTCCTGTATGTGTTACACTTCATACTGTCAACATCAGTTCTCACTACTGTGGGCTAAAACCTTTCCCTCTTCTCCTCTCTGCACTGACGTTAGCTTTGATTTCACCACTACACCTCATCCTTGTCACTCATGTACAAACAGTGACTCCATCATGAGTTAAAAAAAGGCATAACAATCTCCCACCTGCACCTGTGAGGACCCCGTTTACTCCACTCGCCAGCACTAGCTCTTCTTTGGACTTGAAGCTCAGCAGCTGGTCTGTGGTGACAAGTGCTGAAGCAGCAAACTGGGCACTGGCCTGGTCCAACGTCTTGGACACGAGTGTCTGGACGGGAATCAGAGAGAAAACAGACTTGGTGGTTGACAGGAACTGTCACATGACCTTTTTCTTCTAAAGCAGTATTTTTACCTGTTGAAAATTGAAGGCATGTGCACTTAACACAAGTAAAGTCGATCAGTTAACGCCTGCAGACTCAAGGCCTCACATCACACATGAGGTTCACCTACTGCTACACTTCACACTGGTTTACACTCAGATGTTTGAATGATGATTTCTCTGGTCTTCAACGACTTTGATGTAATTATGGGGATTGTTTTGTGAGCTTTAACTGTTCAACTTGAACTGATAGAAAAAAGGGAAACTTTTTTCCAGCAGATGTAAAAACCTGCTGAGCTCGTCATCACTGACCTTCGTGTTGGTCATTGTCACAGAGTTGTTGGCTTGTTGTTGCTGCTGCTGTTGTTGCTGCTGTTTTTGTTGATGTTGATGTTGTTGTTGCTGCTGCTGTTGCTGTTGGGACTGCTCCAGCTGCTGCTTCTGCATGAGGACCAACTGCTCCTGGTGCTGCTGGTACTGCTCTGCTGTGAACACTGTGGAAGGGAAACATGCACTGAGTCAGGGGATGGAACTTGTGTCCAAGACATTATGGGACAAACAAAAAGTCATAAATTAGATTAAATTAGAGATGTGCTGATGACATTTTTTCAGCTGATTCTTTCTTACTTTGACAAATAAAAGCTTGGAAAATAAATCTCTATTAACAACATCTGAAACTTTAATTTAATTGCAAATTTCTTTGCAAATAAATGCCCAACAATTACAAATTAAACGTCTGACATGATCAGGTGTGATCATTTCAAAGTGCTATTTCCTGAACATAAATGAACATTTATGTTCAAAACATAAATGGTAGGTTTTATTTCGATAAACAAAGTCATCTCTGCTTTGTCACCTGAACCCAGCAATCTAAACAAACACTTGGACAACTTGAAACAGCTCCAGTAACACTACAACAAAATAAAGCCCCAGGTCAGTTTGGCCAGACAAGTTTGCCTGGGTGATGGTGTTAACTGTCAGTTCAAGTTTGTTGTTAAAAACACTAAGTGGAGGCTCTCCTGTCTGCCCTCAGTTTTGCATCGTTAGTGCACTGCTCACTTAACCCTTCAGCCTTCTGATTCCACAAGACATCACCAAGCGGGTGATATATTTGACATCACACAGAGGATAACAACAGGACTGGGAAGCAGCAGTGGTCTGAAATATGGTTGCATTTCAGGAAAAAGACAATAGGCCGTTTGTAAGAACAACAACAACAAAAAGGTGGTGAAATACACACGGCATGCAGGAACACTTAATTTACAATCAAAGAGCATTCTCCCATTCACTGATAAGCAATTACATTGTTGTGTGCCTTGAACATAAACTCACTCACATCCTGTCCTGTATTAGTGACACTTCACAACCAGCATTCATAATAATGTCCATCCTCTATGATTACATCTAGATGATGGGGAGGATGTGTTTGCAGTGCTCACAGTGGAATGTGTTACTAAATCCCTGAGGTGGAATCACCATCACATTACTTTATACTTTTCAAATCATTACTCTAAGACGAGAGTCAGCAGGAGACTGAACATGGGACACCTTTATAAACAACAACCAAACACGGGGTGAACTTTCATAGCTTTCAGACACAGACAAATGTATCCAATGTAACCATTAGTCTGTAGTCTGTTATGGATTGTGTTGCTTCTCCATACAGTGACACTACTGAAAATCCCAATCTTCACAATTATAAGATATATAAAAAGCCAACAGGACACTGATTTATTGAAATCAACAAAAATGTTTTTAAAACCATAACCTAATTTACTGACATGGGCCTTGGTGTTGACTGTTGGCTTTAATACCAGTGAGATGTAATAAAAAACAGCTGTACACAAACAACACAGATGTGCTCTAACTGCTCTTGTTTGTGTTTGCAGTGTGTCACTAAGAGTCAACACAGTCCAATTATGCTTCACTTAAAACACTCAGTTTCACACACACACACACACATCTACAGCTTCAGTCCAGGTCTACTCTCTTATACTCTGTTGTTTTACATTTAATATTAGTCCATCATCTCAGAAACGGGGTGCATTTTTTTTTCTCTCTTATACTCTGTTGTTTTACATTTGATATTAGTCCATCATCTCAGAAAAGGGGTGCATTTTTCCCCAGTAAAATTCAAAACATTCCAGTCTTGTTGCTATGAGAAAACAACACCATGAATGCCAGATAAGGACAATAAAGCACAAATAAAAATACAATAATTTAACTAGAAAATAAAAAATCCCTTTACAAGCCCATAAAGTAATAAGGATTAAACATCCTTTAATTTATCAACACAAAAAATACAATGTGTATCACATTTTAATCCATCACCTTTTTCTAGGTTTGAGGTTTTTTCCCAATAATTCAAATAAATAATTCACTATAATCACCAACCTCATACATCATCATTTCAAACACTCCACTAAACAACATTTATGTAATTTCAAAAAAGTGCAATAGAGCTATTAATCTTCTCAAACTGTTTTTAGATAATAGATATTATACCAAAGTAAAGAAACCACTCACCGTTAGCTGGAGTCAGAACCAGACCAGTGCGGTTCTGGGAGCTGGATCCTCCAGACAAGGTCCTGTTTAGTCCTGACACTGTCCGGCTACAATCCCTAAATACTCTCCGAGACAAATCACCGTCACCCAGGTGGTGATGGGATAGCGTCCGTGGTCTGAAGTGCCTCCAGCGGCAGGACTTGATTTTTAAAAGAATGTGGCTGAGGTCCATGAGCGTTGCTGAGGATGAGGACAGGGGGGATGAAGTGGGGTTGGCCAGGTCTGAGGTATTGTTTTCATTTGAGGTACTGCCGTTAGAGTTTCGGAACGGAGAGCTGGGAAGTGGCGTAGTGAGTGGTTCTGGTTCAGGGTCTGAATCCAGGATCTGACAGATGTTCTCCACATCTGTGTGCGCTCTGTCCAACAACACCCTAGAAAGGGAAATCCAAGCGTTATTGACATTCATGTACAGCCACAGGTTTTCACTAGCGTCTCAGAGTAGGTAAATGATTAAATGTGATGTGAACCAGTTCTTCCAGTCTGCCTCACAGACAGATTATATGATCACGTACAGCCAAAGACAGAAAACTGTTGATGTCATGAAGAAGCAGCCTGACCTACTTCATTGCTGAAGAAACCTCTCCTCGCAGAGGATACAAACTGGGCTACAACACACTCTCATGTTTACAATCACCAGCAGCCATGTTGTGATTTGTCTATAAGGCTTCAGGGGGTGAGTGAATACCAGGAATAGAAATGCCATGTTGATCATTTTAGCAGTCGACTTGATGATTTATCATGGGGTTGGTCTGCCAAATGATCTCTATGAACCTGCCAAAGAGCTGCTATGAGGAACAGGCTCTGTGGTTTCAGCCAACACTTGGCTCAGTGTCTCCTGCTCACTATTGTTTTTGGCTGCGTTCACACATTTCATATTGCTACATTTCCTCAGGCTTTTTTGGTCTTCACTTATGTGTCATTGCAGAAAAAAAAAACATAATTAATCCATGAAGCAATTTAGCTGAATGTTAATCAGATCATACTAAATGTGACAGATGTTAGATGTAAAATTACTGAATATATTGCGCATGTGAATGGATCATGTCATTTTAGGTCAGTTAAAGTCCCAGAGCTAACAAAAAAAAAAACAAAACAAAAAAAAAAACAAACAAACAAAAAAAAAAACAACAGTCTGAGCTTACCTGCCGCCTCTGCCCAGCCGACGCCTCGCCAAACCTATGCAGCGTCGTGGCCAGTTCAGCGAAGTTAAACAGTAGCGGAAGCGGGAATCCCCGAGGCCACCTTCTGATGGACTAACCCAGGGCCAGTTACCACAATGGTCTGGACGAGACTGGAAGAATGAAAGGATGACATGAAAAGCGTTAGAGCTTTGACTAGCTAATGTGTGTTGAAAAGAGAAGTTGTTATGATTGGACTGGTGAAAGAATATCATCCACAGCAGTCAGTCAGTCAACCTGCTGTGGCATCTATGGAGACAGAGGTCACTCACAGCATAGTACTGACAGCCGGCTTTCCTCCTGAAGGCGAAGCAGCCGTCTGGGTCATTCTCCTCTTCTGCCTCCGAGGAACCTGAATGAATCTGTTCAACCCAAACACATCAGTCCACGTGTGACAGACTGAAAGTCATGTAGATCACTCTGCACAATCCAAATGTAACACTCAGTTTCACAGAATCACAATCACGGTACCTGTGAATAGGGCTCTTCGTCTGAGCTGGGAAAATCATACTGGTTGAGGTCCTTGGGATTGAACACCAAGGGTTCTGAATGTTGAGGTGCAGACAGGGGCGGGATCTTGGGTTTCTTTTCGTATTTCCTTTTAGTTCGCACTGCCTCCGTCTTCTCTGGCTGCAAGAATGAAAACAGAAGCAGGGATTAATGTTTACAGCACTGGTCATTTCAAAAGAAAATGCTGAGTGAGCCTGTTGCTGGCCGGACATCGTTAATGGCCGAGTACGACTACAGAGAGTAAAATCGGCATTGATATGCAGATGGCAGCACGTGCCAGATGCTGTAGTCGAGCCAGATGGCTCTGTGCTTCCTCCCACCCCAAAATCTGTGCTCTGCTGTATTTAACCCCAATATTCCCCGTGGGACAACACCCCCTCCTCCTGAACTGGCTCCCATCTCCACTGGGATTTGTCAGGTCCTATTCAGTGCTCAGAAGTAAGGACAAAGCAAAGAGACCCCACAGAGACCCCTGTGTCAGGAGAATGAGAAATAAGGTTGGAGTGATGGAGTAGAAGAGAGAGGAGGAGGAGGAGAAGGGAGTAGAAACGAACTCCTAAAACAATAGTCAACCAGCTGGTAGAAAAAAAATGTAGGAGGAGGGGGATTGATGGGGAAGTACTTGCAGTGGGGCAGGAAGTGGGGGAGTTAATGAAGTTATAGTGAGAGGGGTTGATGCCAAATAATGATGTGTGCAAGCATGTAAAATGTCTGAGGATTTCATCCATTACTTATAGAAAGACAGGGTTAGACCAAACATTCTTCTGTCCTTTTATAAATAAAATATTTGATAGGGACATGTGCAATGATTTTAAAACCTTACTTAAACAGCACTTGATTTAAATGACTATAAGCTTTTAAAGCACGTCTGACTCCAAGCCAAAGAAAACACATTTGCTGCTTTTCCTTTCAGCCATCAACTCAGTTTAAGGACAAACAAAGTCAGTTCCAAATCTTAAATAGTTCTGTAGAATTTCAGTTCTGATTCCCACACATTATCATCATCATCATCACGAGGAGATGAAAAGACTGAACTGTGTGGTGAGATCATCAACTGTGTCCTCACCTTCTTGTAGTCCTTCATGTCCATGTGGTCCTGGTGTCTGTACTGGTTACTGTTGGACAGAGGAATGATGGGGATTGTGTAGACAGGTTTGACCAGAGCCCGCTGTGCCAGAGCCTCTGCCATCACCTCACTGCCAAAGTCTGACATTGTGTTTCTGAAAAGACACACAACACACATGGAGGCTGTAGATAACATACACAAAGAAATCTTCCACCGCTCTGGTATGTCTGCTACAAAAGTGTGTATAAAAAAAAAGCCGAACAGCAGTTCTTCCTTTCATCAGGCACAAAGACTGTGGCTCAATAATACAATTTGTTTTTTTATTTTGACTGTAACAAAAATATGTACTAAATGTTTTATTGTATGCATTTAAAAGTTTTGTCTCTCCATGTACTCAATGCACTTCTAACGTTTCAACATTTCTTTGGCCACAATGTGGTTTCATCTCCACATTGGTAGAGTTCTCCAGAAAACCAGTTAGATAAAGTTAACTTCAATCTTTGCTTATTATTTCTCTGGCATGACCGAAATGATTTGGTCTAACAGTGATATCTGTGTGTTCTCACAGACTAAATCAGATGAAAACCTTTCTTATATATAAAAAAAATATATAATATACAAAGACACATCTCACAGTTCCTCAAACTCATTTGACCTATTTTCTCCACCAGACAACAGAGTTGCCACAACAGTACAAATGAAATGACTTCTACTGTTTACTATTATTACTACTATTATCCTCAGATGCAAAAGCAAAGTCTCTAAAAGTAAGAGAACCCGGTTTAGGTTTGTGGTTCATCTTAAATAAACACATGAATATTAAAAACAATGGCTGCACAGCTGTGAACTCTGAATGCAGACCAAAACACACAACCATGTGACTACACACACAGGCCACCTGGGTCACTACACTCCCATCTAATTTCATGCAATAGTCTGCTGAAAATAGAAGCCTGTGAAACTAGAGTGAAGTGCAGCAGTGACTTGAAGGCAGGAAGAGGGTCAGGATAACCAGAGGAAATTGAAATGTCACTACAAATCAAAAAGCACTTCAAGAAGAAGACTCCAACTGAGGCTACCACTGACGGCTACTTTCAGAGGAGATTGATTCCACTCATTTGTCGTGTTTAGATGGATCACTGAGGAACCGGTGAAGGAAAAAAAGGTCTAACAGGTAGTAGACTGTTATAAAGAGAAAAAGAAAATAGACTGGAAGAAAAATCCACAGGCACTGCAGGAGTCGACGAGCTCATTAGCAGCAGCCTCTGCTGGAGAATGAGGGTGGGTTTTAAGTAGTAACATAAGCAAACAAAAGCCTGGATCCCACAATGACCCTAACTCTAATTAACACCAGCAGTCGAGCCTGACCTTACAGAAAAACTAGTGTCTTTTACACCATTGGTTTTGAGGACAAGTGTCTCAATGCAGACTCTGATCTAACTTCATGAGCAGATCAATGCAGAAGACATCAAGTGGTAAAGTTCTGACACAGAGACAGAATACAAATGAAATGACAATTTTATCTTCTCAACAAGTCAAAGAAGAAAAAAAAAGTCACGCTGAACACAACTGTGTTCATGAACATCATAATCTGAGCAGATAAAAACGAACAATCCAGCAGTATGACAACATCTGCCTCTCAGTCATATTCAGCATGTTCTCTCTCACCTCTTCTCCACTATCTCCAATGTGAGGTGCAGCAGTTCCCGCTTACTCTTCTCTCGTCTCTTGATCATCTCTAGGATGGTGACCGCTCTGCTCAGGTCCCGACGCAGCTTCAGCATCTTCTCGTAAGATGCCTCGTCGTTCTTTCGGTTCTGAAAATAACAGAGTGATGACTCAGACTTGTGAGATATTGAAACATTGCTCTGAAGACATTAGAACATTAATGTCACACCACTTATTTACCAACACAGCTCCAGACCCTTACCTTCCTCGTCTGCATCTTCTCGGTTCGTCGTCTGAAGGCCACATAGGGGTCGCTGGTGCTGGAGCCATCTCTCTTCTCCTGCTTCACATTGGGGATGAGGACCCCAGCCTTGAAGGTTTTTCGTTTGCGGCTCCAGTAGTCAAACACCTCTTTGATCAGCTCATCATCCTCCTTCAATAGTAGTTTAGCTTCTGGCAAACTTACGAGCTGCACACAAAATAAAAGGGCTTAGTAGGTTGTTCATTACAGAAAACAATAAAGAGCTGGGTGTCCAGTTTTATAGCTTTTAAAAAGACTGCAACCAGGAATAAAGTGAAGCTGCTGTGTCTTCAGGCAGCACTCATAAACTCTAACCTACTAGGGTTTTACTGCTGTCCACGTTTCAGAAGCTTTCCTACTTTCCCTTAACAGTCCATTAGCTTCCATTGTTATGCAAAAAGAGGAAAATCATGACGTTCCCTAACGTGTCAGAAATACAAACGCAAACAAACTCTTGATTCTGTTTAAAGTCCAAGTGCTTCTACAAATATCACGTTCCTTCACACAGAAACTAATACCTGCTGTCCGCTGCCTTTCTCCAATCGGTCAACCATTTCCTCAAACTGCAGGGCTGTGATTTCCATTTTCTTCTTCAGTTTATTCACAAATGAGTCATCCTCTGAATCTAGGTCGTAGTCTGGTTGTTCTGTGTCCAAACTGAAAGCTGTGGGAAAGGAGAGCTGATTACTGCAGAGACACACACATCAACAGACTTAAAAAAATGCTGCTATGAGAACCATTCATCAAACAAAACCTTTTTATAAATACTGTTTAAAGGATCACAAAAAAGATGAAACCGTGCTTTACACTGTGTCATGATTGTTGTTTATTTTAAGAAAGGATGCTGTGGCATTTTTGAACAAAAATCCTCAGATTTGTGCAGGGTCTAAAGCAACGATTGGTCTTTCTATTGAATCTGTCATGGGGAGATATGATGCCCTGTCAGGGTGGAGAGTCATTTTTATTTAGTGGTTAAACACTTCAAGCTGCACCAATTAACAAAAACTGTGGTGACAGTGTGTCAACTTCAGACACCAGAGAACAGGACACACTGCCTTAGTGCTTGGTTCTGTGTCTGCTAAGAATCAATTAATCTTCCACACAGACTGTGAAATGTCTGCAAATCCTAGTCAGTAATGATAACAGATAATGGTGTGTCTGTTCAACGGTAAACCAGTGGCAGCAATAATTAAGGAGTAGCGGGCTGTCACTGCTCTGTGCACACGGCTTAACTGACCTGTGTAGGTTCTCAGTCATCCACGTTATCTCATCCAAAGTAGTTGGGTTTCCGTAGATGTTTCACCTCTCATCCAAGAAACCTCTTGGGTGAGAGGTGAAACGTCCTTAGAAGAACCTTTCAGTCCACTTGGCCTTGCTGTAACTATTTTGCACATCCTACAGTATTTTTTATTTCAGATGTTGATCAGCTTAATCTCACTACAAGAAAATAAAAGGTGTTTACCCACTGTGTTTATCTGATTTTCCTCTGAAGCTGCAGATAAAAACGGCCAATAGGTTTTGGCCCAACTGAATTATGATCGTATATGTGTGTAAGATTGTACATATGTGAATATGTTATTGATATCAACAAGATACTCAATTCCCCTCACACGTGTGGACCTGCTGAAGTGCTGGTTGCAGTAATGAAACCTAGGATCACGCATTAACTACACACCCTGACAGCCGACACGCACACAAACACAGAGCAGTAACCAAGCTGCTACTCACGCTGTAGGTGAATGAGCTGCTTTGGCATCTTAAAGTCCCCGGGGTAGAGGCCCTCATAGTGCGTAATGTTGCACTCTGCCTCGGGGACAGGGATGACCATGTTGTCCCGCTTCTCTCCGTAAACCTGCTGTGCTGAAATGGCCCGCTGGAGATGGTGCTCCTGTAGGAGAAGGGGAGAGGCACTGTTAAGAAAATGACTGAATTCTGACTGCTCATTCTGTTCATAACACTGTTCCTACAGCCGAAAATGTTCAAGATTAAAAGAATTAAAGACATTTTACTCAAGTGCTGGTAATAAAAACAATAAACCACACAAAAAAAGTTCAGTTACTTGTCAAACACTGTTTTGATCAATTGTGTGACAATATACTGAAGTTTGTCTTGAAACCTACAGGAGTTTGCTTGCATGACCATTTCCTGTTCTTTCTATACTTTGTTCTATGATGTCCCTCTAATAATTTTCGAGTAGCGTTGGCCTCTAAAAGGCTTGTTAAGTTTTGTAAACATTCACCACCTCACACCACAGAGGTCTGATTCATACTGTGTAAGGTTGTGTTACGAAGCAAATCTGCTCGCCCACAGTTAACTTCACCTTACCTCATCACACCACTGTGTTGTTAGGGGCTGCAGCTGTCCTAAAGGCTAGGCTATCACCACAATTTATATATATATAAATTATTTATTTAAGAATTAGTAACAATAGATAGCAATGCCACATATTAAAAGTCAAAGGGAAAAGTATATGTGAATGAAAAACAAAGGATTTAATGTAATATATACCAAATTTATATGATCTAATTATATATTCTGCTGAAGTTGTACAGTGTGCAAATTGTCTTTTTTGTGCCAGTACAAATATGAGAAAAACAATGTTTTCAGGCCTTGACAAAAATCGCAAGACCTGTGATATTTACCAAACATGCACAGACCTAATACAAGCTTCAGAAATGTAGAGCGCAATAAGACATCTGAGCAACGTATGCTGTGTTCTTAGCCCGAGTTACACTTCCTACAGGATTATTTTCAATCTCTAGGGCAACAGATGGCAGACCCAGTCAAACTGACTGAAGTCTGTCTTCAACAAGAATTTTAACAGCGCTCCTTCTCATTTTGCACATCAGACTCAGAAGTTTCTTGGGAGCATTACGCTCAGTGTTAAATAGCAGTCCATGTGGCTGGGAATTAGGACTCAACTTTGCAGCTACATTCCACCTATGCCTCATTTGGACACAACAACATTTGTGTAGGAGTTTAGAGTAGTTAGAGCATGAAAATACAACACAATCCACGAGGACCTTTGTGTGGAGTAGAAAGAGAAGTGATTCAGGGCTGTGAGCTGGATGAAAGGACGCAGCATGTGTCCAAAGCTCAACCATCTGGCCCTGGTACAAGCTCATCATCCAGATCTCTATTTATTTGTTTTTATTTTTGTGACACGCGCACAAACAGAATAGCGAATAGTTTCAACAGCACGGGGGCCTAATAAACCTGAGGACCTGAAGTCACAGTGCTAATCTGAGAGTGTTCATAAAACATCAGTCCTTTTTTTCCTGCCTGTTGCGCTTATGAAGTGTGGGTTGTACATTTAACTCCAAAAACAACAATTCACAAGCATTAGTCACATGTGTGCAGAGACTGCCTCCAAAACTCACGCCAATACAAAACCTTAGAGAGTTGTTTGACAGTTTAAATATCCAATGTGTGCCTTTGCTTTTACTTGATTGATGCTCTTGAAGAAAATACTTCCTATTACGTTGACACAAGGAACCTCATCTCTATTCTATTATTATTGATTATCAACATTTATGTTTGATAAAAGAAATATATCTTTTTATTTGTCAAATTTCTAGCTTAAACCACAACTTATGGCAAGAAAATAATACTTTATTTTTTGTGTGAAAAACATGTCAAACCAATACATTCCATTTGAAGCTCAAAGACTTTTATTCATACAAATAGCTGACAATTCAGACATACCAACCAGGGCTAAAATTACACCTTTTGTGAAGAAAACCCAAAACGGCAAACTAGAGGTTTTTAGAACATGGCCCATCTTGGGGTGAATAACATATGTATGGGAGGTTACTTCAAATCCATGAACACAGCAGCAGTGATGCAAAACAGGATATGTTTAATCATCTACTACGTTTCACTCTTTTTCAGAGAACTTAAGCTACTACATTCTTCTTCAGATTGAGACCTGCCGTGGCCTTCGTTAGAGGAGGATATTAGCAATAAAGGGTTTGAACAAGAATCCCTGAACTGCCTCTGACCTAAAGACTCATCCGTCACAGCTGTGATTCTGACCATCAGAACTCACAGCCTGGGAACGTCTTGATTGGAAACGTTTGTGAATGTAACATTTTTTGCTACAATTCTCAATTAATGTCTGCAGTCAAAAATTGTCCATGGCTGACAAAAAAAGAGAACATTTTACTAGTTCTTTACAATTCTTCATGCAGAAAGATGAATGAAACAACACAGCAGCACAGATCCATGCATGACCCTTGATTCCAGAGTGGCTCCTAAATACACACAGACCAAATACAACTAAATTATTTTCCTATTCAAGTTGAAACACCAAATACTGTGGAGCCCTCGCAGCAGTGGAGCTTTGTCACAGCGGCAGATACTGATAGGCCGCCAGGAAATGAAGATCTATTTTTCCTGCACTGCAGGCACCTTCCATTAAATGTTGCCCGAAAAGAAACAGTTACCTCAAATAAAAGTTGCCAAGGCAACAAAGTGTGGCCTTCAGCAGGTGTTTTCAGAGAAGAAAAACTAGTCTAACTATAACAGACTGAATTCATTTATAAAAGCTTGGACTTATTTCATGGAGAAGCCAGTTCATTATGTACTGGATCCATCTTGTGTTAAACAGAGGCAATCCACATCAATCACTTGAGAAAACGGATTTATTCAGCTACATTTCTGTCAATGTAAATATTAAAACTTATTTTTGGCCAAACACAATGTTACCCAGACTGACCACCATGAAGGGGAGATTTGATAACAAATTAGCATGCCTTGTCTTAACAGCTTGTAAGGGCAGAATTCCAGTTTATGAACAGAGGATGTGTTGCAGACAAGAGATGTGGTACCAACCTCAAACACACAAAAATATGTCCAAACATTTCTGGATTTACATGGTGTTAAAAAACAGACATTCCTGTTCTTTTTGGCAGAACTTCACACAACTGTTATACAGAATAACAGTCTGTCCAATGTTGATAATAAAGGTTTGCAAGTTTATGGTACAACATGTCTGTTCCTGTCTAACTGTAAGGCATATATTGCACTTCTATGCATCACCAATTCCAAAACACCTTAAGCAAAAAAAAACAACAACAATATATTGCAGATTATTAAGCCTATTAAATTAAACAAGATGTGTGCACACACTTTCTTAGACAACGTGGTTTTGAAGCCAGCATTTGGCCATTCAGACCGAGACAGTGCTAGACAGAATGTGGGTCAGGAAGCTGAACCATGCACGGCCTCGTAGTAAAACTGTCCTCTTTATCTCTCCTGTCACTCTGTTATGTAATGACACCCAGAGCATGTGTACAGTAGAGCGAGGAAGGGGGGGAACAGGGAGGGAGGGGTGTAGCAGATTTTCTGCTGACTGTGCTGACCCCCACCCCATCTGTCTGTCTGTGTTTCTGTCTCCTAAGGAAACAACTGCCAATGTGGTGTTGAGGAGAAATAAAGAACCAGAAATGTAATAAACAACTACAACAACCTTACCCTGCTTGACACGTGCCAAGAACTTGGGACAAAGCCTAAGCTAAAGTAAAGACCTATATATGTATAATACCCACTAACACAGTTCCATCAATTTGTTTACCATTAAATATTTAAAGCTCTTACCAAATTACAACTACAATGTTCTGACAATTATACAAAAACGTGACTGCTGAGCAACGATCTGAAAGGAATACAATTCCAGATAAATACGCTCTGTTATTCACAAGCTTTCACAAAAAAGCGTAAAAGAGAGCAAAAGTTAATTGGGTCTGTATAATTCCCCGGTGTACTTCAAAACAAACCAGAACCGTTTCAATTACATTTAGAACCAAACAAGACAGGGCAAACACATGGCAGAAACCGAAACTGTCAACAAACCACCCAGCTGTCAAACCAGCCGGTAGCCTCACTTTCGCCACCTGGCGTCTTCTCACAAGAAATGCAGCCTATTCGCGGCCTGTTCGCGCTTTCCTTCACTACACACAAAGTCAACAAAATGGTGGAACACGGAAAAGTCACGTGATTCCTTTGTGCCTTCCAGCTCAACTGTATGCCAGCAAAACGGACATAACATCACCTAAAAATAAAAATACGAACGAAAACCTGAACACAATAACACTAATGGTGGAATGGGACATGAATATTCCATTTTCATCGAGTTACGTCGTGTGCGCTAAAGAGCAGACCTGGCGGCCATTTTGCAGCAGCTTGCGCAGGTTAGCACAGCGGCTCTGCTTCACACAAAACACACCAAAATATTCTAACAGCAGCCGAGCTGCAGTTAAATCACGTACCGATTCTTCTTCCTTCTCCATCCCCGTCGGCATCTGCGGTACAGCTCTGTTAATGGAGGCATATTCGTGCAGGTCAGGCAGATCCTCGCAGCGGAAGACAGGGAGCGGTTTGCTAGCATCCAGCGCCCGTGCCCGAAACGACAATTTACTCATTTTTATAGCAAAAGATGCAGCACAAATCTATTGGATCTGCTCGGAATCGCTGCAAATCTGCTTCGAGTTCTCATGGATGAAACTGTGACGGCCTCTGTGTTTCAAACGGTCGGTTGAGAGCGTTCTCTGGTCCGTTGCAGCGCGAGCAGAGCCGGGCAGGCCCCGGGTCTCGGTCGCTCTCTGTCGGTCTATTCTCTCCCTGAGCTCCGCTGTTCCTCCCCCGGTTCAATACGCCATGGCCAACATGGCGGACATTACAAACTCATGCAGCTCTGCCGCTCTAAACGAGGGGCCCAACCCCCACAATCACACTAACAGCCATTCCCACGCAGCTCCGCACGCGTGCGCGTTCCTGAGAGCCTCGGGTGAGCGGAGAATAGAGGAGGAGGTGTTGAGAGCGAGATGAGACGGGCTGAAGGAGGTGAAGCTGAGGGAAGGAAGAAGGTGAAACTAAGGAAAGGAAACGAGAAATTCGATAAGAGTAAAGGAGAGGGGGTGAGAATTAGGATAAATGAGAGGAGACTGAGAAGAAGAAGAAAAACTGAAAAGGAGGAATAAGATGAGACTGATGGATATGAGGCTTAGAGGAAGGGAAAGGAAGGAAGGTGGGACTGAAAAAGGAGGAAAAAGTTTAACATGAAAAAAAAGAAGGAAGTAATTGAGAATGAATGAGATGAGGAGACTGAAGGTGAGGAGGTAAGGCTTCTGCAATTGTAAAGATTCTGTCTTTACAATTGCAGAAGCTCAGCAGGATGGGGTGTTGAGCAGCAGTTGGTGACCTGGTGTAATTGCTTCTCTCGTCCCGTTTCAGATTCTTCTTCTGCAAATCTACATTCGTGTTTTTTCTTGAAATAATCAACGACTAAATGAAACCTCCCACTTTCACAACATTCAGCTATAGGTTAAATTGGTGTTGACATCAGAAGATGTATTTATACTACACGTAATAAAATTACAAAATAATAGAGACGTAGCGCGTCTTTTCACACAGTCAAATAATTGTACTTTACGAAATAGGACATCACAGAACATCCAATGTCCTGAGTACGACCACAATAAACTATTCTGTTATATAATCAATTTTAATAATAAAAAACGTTCTGACATGATTTAGATTTAACTTTTACAAATGTCGCCACCGTGTGGTGTGAACGCCACACTCCACAAAGACAAATATAATTACTTTTAATAAAAGGGCATGTTATTTTAAAATACTATCTAATGCAATTTTAAAGTTGACGTAAAACATTTTTCTTTCTCTGTCCTTTTGTTTGTTTGAGCAAACTTACTTGTCCTCAACCAACTAGGAAGTGTGCATTTGACAAGTAACAAGTGTTTCTCATCGAAATTATATGAAAGCGATACACTTCTATATATAATCTCTCTACTTCTCTTTCTCTCTATATAGTATATAGTATATTTATATGTGTGTGTGTGTGTAGAACATATCTATAAAACAACATTCTAGGTCTAAGGTCAATTTCACCTGTGTGAAGTTGCGAAAGGACTCCCACGGCAGTGAGAAAATAATCCTGACAGGAAAACATAAAGATCATCATCCATTTGGCTCGAAAAGACGGACATTGGACGACCATAATGAAGACCTGCGATGCAAAGACAGAGTTTGTAATTATGCATACATTTAGAGCAGGACCTCTAATCATTAAAAAGAAAACAACCTGTTTTTTTTACTGCACCCATAGTAAAAGCCCAACTCACCTACAACCCTTGTTGATATTCTATATATTTGGCTACAAAATAATGTCAACACTGTAGGTCTATACACACTATTCCACATCTCTGTTCATGTATGTTTTACCTGGTTAAATGGTTCAAAACAGCTATTGGCTTCATGTGCGCTGAATAATAAAAAGTTGTAGCTACTATTACATAATTTTATCAATCAATTCAAAGGTTGAAGGGCTAACTGTAGTACAGAAAAATGCATAATATCTAGTAAATGGTCTAGGCTAATATTAACGGTAAGGATTTGCCACAATAATCTAAACATAACAGGTTTATCTATAATTTGTTTCTTAGCTAATAAATGTTACATCTAGCTTTCCGAGCCGTACCGA